CCCTAAGACACCCCAACCCAGGTGAAGGTGGGATTCGATCCCAAGTCTCCGCTACGACCAACAGGAGACCTTACCAACCCGCTGGTTGGGGCACCTTGCAAGATCCTCAGATGCATTACCAACCCTAGAAACCTTTTTTCCATTATCCATTCCAAGATTGAAATCCATATCTACATCTACAGAAAGGTTGAAGCCAACCTGCATGCCACCCATTGCAGAGCCAATTAAAACACCACATCTAGCCTTATTTAACTCCTCCATGACTTCCTCTGTAATCCCACCATCTGCCAAGGCTTTCTTTCCAGCTGTGAGCATGTAAAGCATGAATTTGTCTGCCCTTTTAGAAAGCTTAGGTGCAACCCATCCATCTGTTGAGAAAGACTTGATTTCTCCAGCAATTCTCTATAATAAGAACTGACATCAAAACCTAAACAAGGCTGCTTATTTCAGTAGAAGAGAAATTAGTTGTGAAGATATACCGTTGGAAAAGGGGCACAATTGAATGCCTCAATCTCACTTATACCACTTATCCCCTCAAGTAGATTATTGTAGAAGATATCTGGATCATGACCAATCGGGGTCACCACTCCCGTCCCTGTTACAACAACTCTCCTTTGTTTTTTTAGAGGCTTTTTCTTGGTTGCAACTTCTTTTGCAGGTTGTACAGCTACAGCCATGGCTTTCCCTGCAAAAGCAAGTAGTTAACCATCAAATCAAAATTACTAATTGAAATAACTTCCAGATACCACTATCTGCAACAGATTGTGCAAAAATTATTATAGGAACAATATATTTAGTTTTGAGTTTCATTCCTTCAGGAGGACCAGTTAGCTGTGTCAAACTGTCAATCAAGGAATTTTAATCTTTTGATTTTTAGTAATAGCAAAATCAAGAGAATTTTTCTTTGAAGAAAAATAGGTTTACAAGAAGAATGTCAAGTAACACCTTAACAGAACTTCAGTCCCTATTCGGAACATAGATGAATATGTATCATTTTTATACATCGTCAACAATAGTGCCCAACATAGACCATAAATCAAATCCAAAAGAAGATTTAGAAATATCTATTCAAACTTAAGAACAATTAATCAGTCCACAACAAAAGATCCAATATTTACTGTTATTGATCAAAATAATATAAATGATCCAATATCAATAGTAATTTTCTTATCTCTTCTTTCCCCACCAAAGATTCTTCTGTTTCTCTTCTCCTATAATTACCATCAGATAAAAATGGAACATAGAACTACAAAGAAATGAGTAATTTTGGAATATCAGGTGGATGAGAACTGAAAATCAATCTTCAGTACATTTAGAAAAAGAAAGACCAAATCAATTTCACAAATCTGCACTGAATGAGCAAATGTCATATGTCCAAGGACTTGCCTAATCTGCTAGAACTTAGAACCTAATTGATTGTGGCTCCTAGATAATCACATTCACATGTTTGTAAAGTTCAAAATCAAAATTAAAGTGGTCCAATTGGTGACTGTGTATAAACAGCACATAACTAACAAGTGATCTAAAACCACATCCAGCATAACTCATCATCATCATCATCCAAGCCTTATCCCAACCATATGGGGTCGGCAGCATGAAGAAATGTAAAATAAAATGGCATTCACAAAGAAGTATGTCTTTCTTCCTTCTTTTCTTTTCTTTTTTGAGAATTTAACCATTGTAAAAAAGACCATTACCCAATGTTGGTCTGAGCTATCTGGGGTCTTAGGAGGGGTAGATTGGGTATAGTCCTAACCTTTGGCATCTTTTTTCACATAAAGTGACCAACCCCAGACTCTAAACCACATTCTCACACTTGCCAGCCCAAGATTGTACCATTGCATCAAGTAACAGCATTATGACCCCTAATTTAAACCACATTGTATTAATCAAAAATTTAAGAGCCTGTAGACAAGACAATATACAATATTGTACATGATATTTCCCATACAACCCAATCATCTAAAAAAACATTAGAGCATAGTTTTCAAGGCACCAAGGTGAGGCTAGACAACAGGGGAGCGCCTTGTCGCCTGGTCACCTAGGCAATGGAAAAAACATATATCCTAGGGTAGTTCCCTAGGTTACATAACCATATTTCCTTAATAATTATCCATGATTTTCATAAGAAAAGTATAAACTCCATGTTAAAGTATAGAAAATCAACATATTCATGAGAAGAAAAAGAAGAAAGAAAAGAAAACTCAAAAATTATAGGGGCTGAACCCCTATTTTTGTTATAGGAAAAGAAGAAAATAGAAGAAAATGTGTTGATTGGACAAAATTTTAAGTTCTTCCGTCCCTAACTTTTGAGAATCAAAAGGGTTCTTCCTTCCCTAATTTCTCCAAATCAAGGAGCCTTTATTTTGGGGAGACAAATCATTATCAGATCTTCATTGCCAATGAGTGTGTGGACTACAAAAAAAGAAGAGGGGAGAAGGGGCTGGTGTGCAAACTTAATCTAGAAAAGGCTTATGATTTAGTCAATTGGGATTTTCTGCTTGAAGTTTTGAAAAAAAAAAAGAGGGTTTGGAGAGAGGTGGTGTAAATGGATCAAAGGATATGTGACTACTTGTCATTACTCTATTTTTTTATCAGTAATCAAAATCAAATTTTATTACTTAGAGAAAGAAGAGAGTGCAGAACTTGCCATTACTCTATTTTGGTAAGTGGTGACCCTCTTTCCCCATTCCTCTTTACTTTAGTAGTGGATATCCTAAGTGCCTTGATCTCTAGAGCTAATTCTAGGAATTTGATTAGAGGGTGGAGAGTGGAAAGACAAGAAGTAGTCATCACCCATTTACAATTTGCAGATGATCTAATTATCTTTTGTGAGGGAGAACCAGAGGAGTTGGAAATTTAAAAGTGTTGGTGGATCAGTTTGAAAGGTTTTCCAACTTGAGGGTAAATTGGAACAAAAGCTAGGTAGCTGGAATAAATAGGATAGGGGAGGAGGTGTCTAACTTGGCTAGTATCTTAGGTTGTGAGGTAAGTGAGTGGCCTTTAAAGTACCTAAGTTTACCTTTGGGGGGAAATCCAAGGTCAGAGAATTTTTGGCACCCAATTTTGGAAAGATTCACAAAGAAGTTAGTAGGTTGGAAGAGTACATCTCACTTGGGGGTAGAATCACCCTAATTAAGTCTGCATTAGCAAAACTGCCAGTGTATTTCTTGTCTACCTTCAAAGTACTTGCTAAGGTAGGAAACCAGATTGAGAAGATAATGAGACTGAGAGACTTTCTTTGGGAACCAGGAGGCTCAAAAAAGGATCATTTGGTAAAGTGGGAAGTGGTTTCCAGAGAAAAATATAAAGGGGGGATGGGGGTTGGAAATATTAGAGCAAGAAACACAGTGTTGCTAGACAAATGGTTGTAGAGATTTCCCAAGGAGCAGGAAAGTTTATGGCATAGAGTAGTGGGGAGTATCCATTGATTGGAAGCAAATTGATGGGATGCAAGGCTAGACCCCAGGGCCTCTTCTTCCTCCCCGTGAAAAGCTATTGTCAATATTTTACCCTTGTTCTCTCAATTCATCAGATTTGATGCTTGTTCAGGTAATAAAATTCTTTTCTGGGAGGATACGTGGCTTGGGGACTCCCCTCTAAAGGACAAATTCCCGACTATCTACTCCCTCTCCTTGAACAAGCTTAAAGACATCTCTTCCATTCGTGCTTCTAGGGATTCTTGGGGTTTAGGCTTAAGGAGAGGTTTGAGGGACTCAGAAATGGGTTCGGCAAATGAGCTCCTTTCTCTTCTAAGCTCAGTTTTTCTTAGATCAGTCCTGTCCCAATAGTAGAATTTGGTCAAAGTCTTCACCAGGTTGCTTCTCTATTTCCTCATTTTTCAATGCTTTGTTGACTAATACTAATGTGGTTAACTCTTTTCCTGCTAAAGAAGTGTGGTGTGCTCCAATACCCCCGAAGTAAGGGCTTTTTGTTGAGAAGTGGTACTCCAAAAAATTAACACTTTGGATGTGCTTCAAAAAAAGAGACTAAACTGGTGCTTATCCCCACATGTTTGCAGTCTTTGCTTGAATAGTGGTGAGATAATAAATCATACTTTTATGCTGTCCTTTTGCTACTCATATCTGGGAATGGCTCTCTTCCCTCTTTGATTGCAGCTGGAATCCCCCCTCAAGAGTTGCGGAGCTGTTTGATTCTAGTTTTTTCCGACAACCAAAGAAGTGGGGAAAGGTGATGTGGAGAACAACGAGAGCAGCTATTGTGTGGGCAGTTTGGGGAGAGAGAAATAACGGGATTGTCCAAGGCCAAGAAAAATCACTACTTCAAGTTATAGAAGGCATCACCATCAAGGTGATACATTGGCTGAAAACTATGGACCTCTTCAAGTATTTTTCTGCAGATGACTTGCTTAGAGGTTGGAACATAGTAGCAAGCTCTTCCATCTCTCCTACTATTGTTAATGAGGAGTGGACCCCACCCTCACTTGTTTCTGTGAAACTGAACTTTGATGGCAGTTCTATGGGAAGCCCTGGTCCTTCTGGAATCGGGGGTGTGATTAGAGATACGGAAGGAAGAGTTTTGGCCCTTTTCTCTGGCCCTTTAGGGGAGGGTGACTCACTAAGAGCAGAAGTAATGGCGCTCCTTCAAGGGCTCAGATTGGCTAAACAGTTGGGCCTCCAACTATTAAAAGTGGAAGGGGATTCAAGATTAGTCATAGGCTGGATGCAAACAAGGAATGTGGTCGCTTGGCTCCTTAAACAGCATATAAGGGAAATATTTAATTTGACACTGGAGTTAGGAGCACAGTTTAACTGGGTTAGGAGAACAGCAAATGGGTTGGCTGATGTTTTAGCAAAGCAAGGGGTCAATAGGGACACTTTATCCAATGAGGGTCACCTTTTTGAAGGTGGTAGTTGTAATTCTATAATTCTCATAATTAATGAAAGTTACCGTTTCCTATCAAAAGATAAAATTTAAGTTCTTCCTTACTTATTGGTTCAGGTTTTGAAGTCTTTGAGGGTTCAATACAACATTTAGCAATGTCTATGTTGATTAAACCTTAACAAACAAGAAAATAACAAAAAGAAATTAGTATATAAAAACACAAAATGAATATTTTTCGTTTAATAATGTCTATTTTATAATTATAATCTCAAAAAAAAATAAGAATATAAAAGTATTTTATAAAACAATGTACAAAACTGCTTGGCAATTAGGTGAGGCAAGCCTCCAAGGGTGCCTTGTCACCTAGGTGCCGCCTTGACAACTATGTATTAGAGACATTGAGCTTTCACGATACAAAGATGCCCTTTTCATACTTGCTTTGGAAATCCCATCTCCAATATGTACCAAAAATGATGCCAAATTTCCAATATGTAGAGTTATGTAAGAAGTTGAATGGTGTATCAAGTAGATAGTAGGTTCTTTGGTGTTTGGAAGAAACTTTGATGTGATAGATAACAGGTCCTTAATGGTATCTCCTTTGAGTGAGGTAGTGCATGCATGAATGAAAACAAAAATATTCCAGTTTATGTAGCAGCCAGACAGGAGGAGCATTTTCAGATCTTAATATAAGACCCTTAATACTTGTGTTAGATAATGCTCTTTTATTAGATTTTGTGCCGTCTTGATAAGAGGAGAACCTTTCAAGAACATTTGTTTGGAAGCTACAAGTATTGTGAACCTCACTTCTTGATGAAGCATTTTTGTCTTGAGGGCATGTCATTTATGTTTTCTGTAAAAAGTTTAAGGCTTTGAACATGGAGACATTTAGTTAAAGAGATGGAACAGAGAGCATTTTGGGAGAAAACCAATGCAAAATTGGCCCACATCCAAGCTACCATCAGAAACCAAAATGGTGAATGAGAAGGAAGAATGAGGGAAATGTCCATGGAAAGAGACATAGTAGGACACTTGCTGAATGAAGCCTTTAAAACATTGGCCATTTAGAGGAAAATTAGTTGGTGCCAGGTCTACTGGCTAAGGGAATGTAGGAATAAGGCAGAAAGATAAATGGTAGGGCTCATCTAGTTTTATATCAAAGGATTATTCTTTTCATTGAAACATGATGAAAGAAAGGATTACTTTTTTCATTGCATTCCTCTCTTTGCCAATGAAAGAAAGGCTCAAGTTCGGGCTCAAGCTCGATTCAAACTTGAGAAATGTGCTCAAATTCAGCTCGACTCAAAAGCTCATATGTTCGAACTCAGCTCGGCTCAAGCTCAATAGTGAGCCAAGCTTCATACAAAATAAACAATTATACAAGTAAAAGAATTATACATATAAAACATCAAAAATTAAAAACATTATATATAACATAAGCTCAATTAGGCTCCTGAGCTTCATTGGGCTCAGGCTTAACTCAATTAGCAAACGAGCCTATATATTGGGCTAGAGCTCAGCTCAAAATTCAAGTTTAGACCGAGCCAAATCTTTCCACCGCTAAACTCTAGTTCAGTCCTCGTCATCAAACGTCATCAAAGAAATATTGGAATGGTCCTGTTTGGGAGCTTGAATATACCACTTCTAGGCACTATTCCTCCATTGATAACGTAATCCTAAGTTTTCCTATCTACTTCCATCCTGACCATTTTCCCCTAATCCAAATGGGTTACTTGACCCATATTGGCCCACTACTCAAATGGGTGAGTATGGGTTGTTCAAATGGGCTAGGGTCAAAATAGTTAGCCCTAGTTTTAAGCATGGTTGTAGTTGTAACTCTTTCTTTATGTTGGAAGAGATCGCACCTTGCGCCTCTCTTAGGGATGCTTGTATTGATAATATGAATACTATTGTCTACTTGTAATGTTGCTATTCACTAATTAATAAAATTCATTCACTTGTCAAAAAAATCATAGAGGGGCTTCTTTTTTGTAAATATTATATTTTATTCATTCTTTCAATAGAAGATGAGTTATTCATCAAACAAAAACTAATGATTGGGAAGGAAAAAGTTAGTGAGAAAGATGAAAATACAAAGACCTTATTCAGACCACTGTTATTCAATGGACTAATTGGGAGGAGAGGAATGCCCAAATCTTCAATAAAAAAGAGAATATGCAGGAGGCTTTGATTGATCTCATCCTTATTTGGTTGGCATTGAATAAAAACAAGAAAAGAATTTGGTCCTTTTTCTACAAAGAACATCATCAGAAATTGGCAAGTGATGGCTTCTTCTCGTCCTTTAAGAAGAGGGGTATCCCAAATAGATTGGCATTCTAGAAAGTACTTTCAATTTGAATTTTAATGGTTGCTGCCTTGGAAATCCAGGTATTGGGGGGGTGCTTTGAGGGATCACCATAGTTAAGTCATCATCATGTAATTAGGGCTAATCGATGTAGGCAACGCAATTAGGGCAGAACTCTTATCAGCACTTCAAGGCCTAAGATTTGCTAATCAATAAACATGCTAAAGCTGGAAGTGGAGAGTGACTCAAAGGTAGTGACAGGGTGTATGAATATGAATCAAACAGTAAAGGTACATTGGTGTTTCAGACATGTCGTCAATGTCAAGGAAGTAGATTTCCGGCCAGAAACCTGAATATTTTGATCAAGTGAATAAGATCATCATTATCCATGCCTTATCCCAACTATATGGGGCCAGCTACATGAATCCTGTTTCGCCAATCTGTTCTATTTAAAGCCATATCCACTGTTAAATTATGAGTGTTTAAACCATTTCTTACTACTTCTAGCCAAGTCCTTTTTGGTCTACTCCGAGCTCTTCTAGCCTCTTCAATGTGTAACAAATCGCTCAAGTTAATTACATGATTGGTAAAATTTTCTCAATGCCTTAGCAAGGTAAAGGTTAAAAACAATTAGTTGTAAGGACTATGTAGGACCTGCTACTCAGGGGTAGGTAGATCCATCTAAGGGCAGCCCAGTGCAGGAGGCTCCCACCAAGGATAAAGATGAATCACCTATTAAACCAGCTTGAATTCACAAAATAAGGATAAGATGCAGATAACAAATAACCATGTTCACATTTTAACTAAAGAACAGGAAACCAATGTTCTTAGATCAATTTGAAAAGTCCACCAAATCATATGGATCAAAACCTCCTAAACCAGCTTGGGTTCAGGTAAAAGTGACAAAAGTGGACAAAAAATGCAATCTGCTTTTTAACTTCCTTTTCTCCATTGGTTAATTGATCATAGACATGTTTCCTAGAAGTTCATGGGATGTTTGTCAAGGTGATTTGTTAACTGTTTTACTTTTCATTATAGTGGAAAATATCCCCATCAATTAGTTGAAAACATGCTAAATTGCCAGCAACCGAGGTGATACAGCAATGCTACTTCATACACAGCTGAGAAGGGAAACCACCTAAATCGCAGTGCTTTTGATTACTTTCAATAAACCAGCTATTATGATACTAAACTAAATTGGACACACAGAACACTTGCATCTCAAGCCCTGCACGGTTGCACCCAGGTAATTCCGATAATAAGTACAAGATACACTGAACAGGAGAAATTTTTAAGGTTTGGGTAACAAATACCACATGGAGTTAAAGACAATAAAACGAATGCTGGACTTCTACAAATTACATAAAAATTAACTGAAATATAGGCATGAAATAAATAAGTTAAGCTTCACCTAGCAGTACAGCATACGACAGAAAAATAGATAATATATGCCAAATCTGGGAGCAGCAGTAGAGAATCGTTTAAAGTTCAAACATGATAACTACTCCAAACATAACAAGCGAAAATTATTAAAATGAAGGAACCGTAAGGATGCAAAAATCACTATACCAGTCGCCTCCAACGTAATTTCCCAACCGATTACCTGAGTGGGTGGCTCGGTTTATCCGCTTCTGCCTGCGTGTCATCGGCCCATTCTTCGAACTGAACAGCGAGAAGCCATTATCACCAAAAAGTGTTAAAGAAGAGATACCCTTAGAACTGTAATATTTCTCGCAGGGCTCAAAAGCCAAGCAAGAGCTCATGAGACCTTGAATACTCGACCCACAGAACGACGAAATCAAATTTCTCGGAAAATCATCACCTCCACCACTGCATTTCGAAACAATCCTCCTCCTCCTAGCCCACCTGCTCAATCTCTTAGAAGACATAAATAGAGAAGGCTTCGGAGAGTGCTCTTTCTCGCAGGCAACTGACATGCAAGCAGCGACTAACCATGTACAGAGAGGAGAAGAAACAGAGGAAGCCGCCATTGGAGAAATAGAGACGAACCCAGAAGGCCAAATGATAAAACGGAACAGGAATCAGCAGCTCAGATTGGTTAAAGAAGATATATGAGGTTTCTGCTCGGGAAAATGCGATCTATAGTCTATACCAAGAAAAACGCCACCTCCATTGATGAGAAGAGATGCGTTTTTCTGGGTTTCTCAAGACGAATAAGCTCGTAGCTTTCAATCTTAGGCAAACCCACCAAAGAAATCGAAGCTATCATCGATTAAAAGCAATTCTAAATGGCGGAGTTTTCGTAAATCTGAGTTGTTCAGGCAGAACAGTGCCAAGTGCTAAGAAGGGAGAGAGAGAGAGAGAGTAACAATACAAGAGGATCTACAACCAGAAAAATAAAACCAAGCTATATTTCTTTTTATAATGCAAAAAAAAAAAAAAAATCTCACGACATTTTATTGCAGCAAGAAAACAGAAGCAAGTACTTGGACAGAGAAGAAAATGGAAAATAAAAAGTAAAGAACTGCACGATAACCCTTCAATGAAACTAGATCTGTTACTCACTGTTACTCCAATGAATAATAAAAAGTACGGAAGATGTTCTTGATACATGGTGAGATGTGTCTGTAAGATCGGTGTGAGGCACGCGGTGTAAGGAGCAAATCCTGAACTGGTTACAGCGAGCACATGAGAATATGCGGAAAAAATAATAATCATTATTTTATTTCTATTTTGCCTTAGCTTTACTAGGCCGGGGAGCTATTATACTGTGAGATTGGATAGATTTGGTTCAATTCCAATGCAAAATCTGAAATTTACCTTATATCCAACCCGATCAAACCGACTAACCCGGATTGACCCAATCTGAGTTGGTCGGGTTTTCATCAGTACAGGTCGGTTTTGGGTTGGGAAAATATATAAACTGATACTAGTCTTTTACTAATTCGGTAGTTCCTAGTTTGAGTAGTTTCCTACTTAACTATAACTAGTCTTCTACTAAAAATAAAAGGCACATTAGGCATTACAAATAAAATAGGCAATCTATCATAGTTTATAAATTTCTATAATCTTTTACACCAAATAGGCAACCCATTAGGCAATTACAATTAGAATTCAATTAGGTGTCCTTTTATACAGGAGCAAAACCGAAACCAACCCAACCCGATTCAAACCGATCAGATCGATTTGGCCTATCAGTGGGTCGGTTTCGGTTTCCACCTCAGGTAACCCGACCAGGTCGGGTCGGTTGGAAAAACCCCAATAAACCGACCCAACCCGACCCATGAACACCCCTACTTATAGTTATAGATTTATCCAAATTTGTGAAAACCTAAGGTCAATTTTGGATTTGGCGATCTTTCAAGGTTGGTTATAAAGGCTTATCTGTTGAATCCATTTTTCTTTATACAAAATAACGGAACATGTTATTTCAAAATTTAACTTTCAATAATAATAACAACAACATTAATTTAAAATTTGTATTATATTTATTGACTAAGTTATTAATTTAATATATAAATTATCATAATATATTAATATATGGGTCAAAGCTTATCTTTATAATTTAAATTTTATAAATATTATCTTTTACTTTACTTATTACACCTTCTATATTATTTATTATACGATCAATTTAATTAATTATTATATTTTAATAGATTAATAGAAACCAAACCGAAAAACTAAAATTTTGCAAAATAAAAAGTCAGAACTGACCATTATTGGTTTCAGTTTAGTTTTCGATTCTTCAGTTTTTTTATGATCACCCCAATAATAATTAGGGTGATCATAACTTGAATCGGCACTAGGGTTGTTCATAAGAAGGTCCAATTCGACCAAACCGACCAACCCGGACCGATCCAACTCGAGTCGACCGGGTTATCTTCAATACCGGTCGGTTTTGGATTGTAAAATATCATAAACCGATGGTTTGGGTCGGTTTTGATTTTTTTTGTGTGAAAACCAAAATCGACCCAAAACGAACCAACTTAGTTAAAGAAGCATGTTATTGTATACTTTGTTTAGTTGTTCATAATCCTTTGTGCAATGCATGCAAGTTGATATAATGTTTGAAATTCATGATTTCAGTTTTCATGGTGAAACTAATCTCTAATCCCAGATGCTTATCAATTTGTCTTATTTTTTCCGTCTTCACTTCTAGCGAGAATAAATTCTCAAACTGACAACCCAAACTTGCACCACACAGGCACATGGGGGGCATGGTTGAACTTAGAACCAAAATTGACCCAAACCGACTCAAACCGACCAGGTCAGTTTCGGTTTCAAGTTAAGGTAACCCGACTAGGTCGGGTCGGTTGAAAAAATCTCAATAAACTGACCCAACCCGACCCGTGAACAGCCCTAATCAGCAGTAGGCACTATAAGACGCCCGAAGGAATCAAATTGTTCTCCGATAGGAGTATACAAATAATCTATGATATCGCCTTCATTGATAAGAGTCCGATTATAGGCCCGTTTGGTTCGTGGGAATAGGGGTTTGGAATCCGAATTAGAAGTGGAATTGGAATGGGTTATTCAATTTCAACTGTATGGTTTGGCGAAATTGGAATTCTATTCCCATTCTTGGTGGGATGTCATTCCCCTATTTGAGGGAATAGTAAATGTACACGTATTTTGCACGTGGTAATCTTTTATGATGATGATAATAGTGTTTTATCTTTTTTTATATTTTTATGTAACTTTTCACATTTAGATTTGGTTCTTATTTCCTGTTATATATTTATAATTAATTTCTGTTTATAAACTTTGTTCATTTTGAATAAAAGTAAAATTTTACACCTACAATGGTGTATGTGAAGGTGAGGATACATTTCTTTTTGATAGGGTGAATTTTAACGGGAGAATGAGTGGCATCTATCCACATAAATGGTTTCTATATATGGTTCAACAATGACTATTACGATATTAAATGTCTTAGTTATGGTGTTTTGTCAAAGTATACATTTATCCCCAAAAAATTCAGTGATTAAGGGGTAATTTATGTCAAATGAAAATTCTAGAAAATCAGACTCTATTCACACTTTTATAAGTAATATAGATATAGATGGTGATTCACTCTCCCTCCTATCCTATTCCTATTAATTCCAATTTCTGCCTGAACCAAATAGGCTATAAGAATAGACTATTCTAATTCCAATTTCAATTCCAACAACAAACCAAACAAACCCTTAGATATTAAATACCATTGATAAATTAAACTAAAATGGCTTATCTCCATGGGGCTCCACAGATAAGGGATACCCATCCCCCCAAACCAATATAGGGCTGTAAACAAGTCGGACCTGGTTTGGGACAGCCTATATCAGTCCCATATAGGATAAAATCATAAGCCCAGAACCATCTCAATTAATAATTGGGATAACTAGGTCTGTTCCGATTAGACTTGATTATAGTGTTAGCTATAATTATTTAAATAAAATAACATAAAACTTGGCTTTTGATAATATAATCCTAATAAAAATGACAATAAATTAATATAAGTGTTTTTAATCAAAACAATCTTATATGCTATCTATTAAATTTACACTTTTACACATAAAATATAGTAAAGGTTACAAATGAACTACGTTACTAACAAAACAATTCATGGTTTTTAAAACCAAACCGGTTAGGGGTCTGATTACTGGTTCGAACGGTCCAATCGTTTTGACAAAAAAAAAATTTAAAAACGATCAAAACTGTTCGAATGATAACCAACCGATTCAACGGGTTGCTGACCAAAATCAACGATTTTAGGGGAAAATGGAACCAATCAGGTGACTGATTCCCGATTTTTCCGGTCCAACCGTCCGGTCCGATCTGATTTTGAAAACCATGAAACAATTGGTTTGGGTTTGAATTATTCTGAAACCAGTATGAACCAGAACTAATCCAATTAATCAATTATTAGTTGAGACAAAATAACAGCACCAAAATCCATATAATCAGTTTATACCCAACCCATTGACAACCCTAAACCCATAGGCCGAACCCGATGGTGGTGGAATTCAATCAATTCATTGTTCAACATACATAATTCAAACCAACTTTAGTACTAAATGCATATTAGCTTTATGCATATGTAAGCATGTGCTTTTAAATATATAATGCCCTATTAATTTAGATCGTATAACCAGTACATGAGAAAAACAAAACTTACCCGGAATGGGTGATTTGTATGCCGCATCAAATGATCAGGTTTCAGGAAATTCTGCAACTCTTGCTTGAAGGGAAGTTCATAGGCAACCAAGGGCGGAGAGCTCAAAGTTGGGATCCCCTCTCTCTTTTTCTATCTTTACATAGTCAAACAAAAGATTATGTATCGAATTGAAATGCATCCAGATTTGCGTCAATTATAAATAGATTGATTTTTTTTTTTTATTATGGATGTAAATGATTAGAACCCCACGTATTAACCAATAACAATTAATCACTAAAAGGTGTATATGGAATTGCAGACAAAAAACAAGTGTTAGTGGAAACGATCACATGAGAATACGGAAAATGATCGTATATATCTCAAAATTAAGAATAAAAACAATACAATTCAGTCATATAAATGCAGTAGAGTAAAAGATATATATGTTAAATACATATTCGTGTATTTATATGTCTATTTTATATGTAGATATGTATATAATATATTAAATATATGTATATATAAACCCATAATTAAGTATGTTTTTAATTTTAAAATTACAATTTCTAGATTCCTGGATACATATTTTCAAAATCCAAATCATCCATGTATTATACACTTATATATTTGAGAAAACTGTATTCAAAACATTTTAAAAATTCATCAACAATACTGTGTATTAAATACAAATTTAATGGGACCTACCACCTTTGAATGCTAGAAGAGGTGCCCATTTAAGGCTGTGTTTGGCTTGAAATAAAAGGTAAAGAAATCTATACAAATCAAGGTAAAGAAATCTATACAAATTAAGGCTGCGTTCCTACCTTTCCCTATCTCTTCTTTCAAACCAACTAACCAAAAGTGTGGGATTCTTAGCTATGTACCTTAGGCTGTGTTTGTTTGCAGTGCAAATTTATTTGCACTAGTACTAATGAATGGGAGTGTAAATTCTTGTTTAATTTTATTTTAGATTTTACTTTATTCTGTTTCATGTCTTAATTTATTTTATTATACTGCAATCGATCAAAATAAGCTAAAATTTAAAACAAAAAGTATATCAGAATTTACACTCAAATCATTTGCACTGTCATGGTTTTGCATCAATACAAACTTAATTATGGATGAGCCCAGGAACCGAGGCCCACCATTTTGAATTCACATCAAAGCCCCACATACACATCTCAATGTGTATTAGGAATATCTCCCGAAATTGCCGTTGGGAGATGTTCCCATTACACAGTTGGGATGTTCTGTGCGGCACCTGTGGGGCATGCTTTATGGGGTGTAAATGTGAATTCCGCCATTTGATAGATCCTAACTAGAAATTTTGACTACTTGAACATTGCTTGTA